GTCCTTGGTCCAGCAAAGATGTCCGCCTCTACCACCTCTTCTTCCGCCGTGTCCTCAGCCGCCACCCCTGTGCCAAGTCCCATTACCCGACCGGCATATCACATGTGCAGGGCGCAACGGTGTCACGCTGTGCTGCACCTGGTATGCCTTGGCGAACGTAGTCACACAGGGGAGGAACTTCTGAGTGTAATGAACAGAGAAATCGACAGATGGCTGTCTCCGCGCAAACTGAAAATCGGAACCATGTTGACCGACAACGGAAAGAACATGGTGTCTGCTCTGCGTCAAGGAAGGTTGTGCCATGCGCCATGCATGGCTCATGTGTTCAATCTGGTTGTCAAGCGGTTCCTAAAATCCACCATCCCACTGCAAGACATCCTTAAAATGTCACGTAAACTTTGCATGCATTTCAGCCATTCCTACACCGCAAAGCACACCCTCCTTGAGCTGCAGCGGCAGAACGGAATTCCACAGCATCGCCTGATCTGCGACGTTGCAACAAGGTGGAATTCAACCCTACACATGTTAGACCGCCTTTACGAACAGCGAAAGGCCATCACCGATTTCCTGATGTTACAAGCGGAAAAGGTACTCCCCTGTGTAACTTCGATGTCAGCCATTGGCAGCTCATGCGTGACACCTGCCGCTTGCTCAGGCCCTTTGAGGAGGCCACGCTATTCGTGAGTCGGCAGGACTATGGGATGAACGACGTCATTCCTCTGTTGCACGTCCTGGAACAAATGCTGTTAACAATGGCTGGTCAGGGTGCGGTAGACGTGGCGCACAGATCTCAAAGCCACATGACCCCTGTGGGGGCAGGACAGGAAGAAGAGGAGGAGGTAGAGGAGGACATTGGTGCTCAGGAATTATTGAGTGAAATGGGTGGTTTTTCCACTCAGCGGACAGGAGTGGAGGAGCAGGAGCATCTGGTAGAGGAGGAGGAGGAGACAGAGGACCCAGACGCACCGTGGCAGTATGCTGTGGAGATGGAGGCAGGGAGTCCCTCGCATTCCTTGGCACAAATGGCCCATAGCATGCTCGGTTGCTTGCGTAGCAACAGCCGAATAATAACCATCAGACAGAGGGATGACTTTTGGCTGTCCACCTTGTTGGACCCTCGCTACCGTTCAAGAATGGTGGCCTTTTTCACACCTGCTGAGAGGGAGGCCAAAATAACGTACTATAAAAACCACCTATGTAGTCAGTTGGTCTCTGCCTTTCTGCGCCAACGTCCATCCTCAGACACTGTGGGCCCTGTGCGCTCGCGTTCCGCTGCCATGCCAGCAGGGGAGGGGTGGGGTGGTAGGAGCAGTGGCAGCTCCACCAGCAGCGGCTGCCTCAGTCTGCAGTCGATGATGAGTAGCTTTCTTCACCAGCGCAGTGAGGAAACTACTAACCAGCCGCAGCAGCAGCAGCATCAGGTGGACCTGGAGCAGGACCTCAAACAACAGGCTTGGGCCTACTTGGACAGCACCCTGCCAACCGAGGTAGACAATCCCCTTGACTACTGGGCAACGAAACTTGACCTTTGGCCCCAACTAGCTGAATTTGCCCTTGAAAGGCTGTCATGCCCGGCCAGTAGCGTGGCATCGGAGCGTGTGTTTTAGTGCGGCAGGAGGTATTGTAACTCCGCGGAGGACACGACTGTCCACCCAAAGTGTGGAGAGACTCACGTTTGTGAAAATGAATCAGGCGTGGATTAGTCTGGATTTCAAACCACCAGTTCCTGACACAACTGACTAAATCCGCCATGAATCATGCCCCAAACATGTTATTATTTTTAACATAGGCCTCTGTATGGCCTTCAATTTAAGCTGCTTACGCTTCGCCACTCTGCCATGGGCCCCTGTACCGCCTCCTCTTGCTGCTGCCAGGTCCAGAGTGTGTCATGGGTCCCTGTACGGCCTCCCATTGCTGCTGTCTCCATCGCCACACTCTGCCATGTGCCACTTTCAGGTCTCCTTACACTGTTGGTGGGTTCCATTTTGTGATAGGGTGCTGTATGGCCTTCCATTGCTGCTGCCTCCACCGCCACCCTGCGCCATGTGCCTCTGTCGTCTGCTCACGCTGCTGACGGCTTCCGCTTTTTAACCGAGGCCTGTGTTTGGCTTCCGAATACTGCTGCATCCACCGCCACCCTGCGCCATGTGTCTCTGTCGTCTGCTCACGCTGCTGACGGCTTCCGCTTTTTAACCTAGGCCTGTGTATGGCTTCAGAATAATGCTGCCTACACCGCCACCCTGCGCCATGTGCCTCTGTCGTCTGCTCACGCTGCTGCCAGGTCCATACTGATTCATGGCCCCCTGTACCGGCTCCTCATGAACGTGGTTCAGCGGGTTTGCATCACTTAACGGCAAATCATTGACAAACGCTGGGACGTTCAGTGTTGTGCGCATTAAGCCAGACACCAAAGGGCAGCACAGACCTGTTATTACTCGCTCAAGCATGGCTGAACAAAACCAGTCTCTACCACAAATTGGACCCAGACCTGCCCAGGGTCTCGTAAGTAGATTGCACGGAGGAGTAGAGTTCGTTATTGGAATTAACTGTGAGGGACTTTTAAACCTAGGCCTGTGTATGGCCTTCAATTGAAGCTGCTTCTGCTCCACCACTCTGCCATTGGACTCTTGATAGTCGTCGACTATCAAGAGTCCAATGGCAGAGTGGCGGAGCAGAAGGAAGGAAGGAAGGAAGGTAGGCAGGCAGGCAGACGACAGGATCAGGTTCAGGTACAGGGGCTCATGGGGAACAAACACCAAGGCACTGACTGCAGGTCTGGCCATTGCTTAAATACACCTCCTGCAATCAGCTTCAGGCTGGGCAGCGGGCACATCAGGCTGGACAGCGGGCACCGGTACATCAGGCTGGGCAGCGGGCACCGAGTCACCTGGCACGACAGCGGGCACCGAGTCACCTGGCACGACGGCGGGCAACGAGTCATCTGGCACGACAGCGGGCACCGAGTTATCTGGCATGACGGCGGGCACCGAGTCATCTGGCAGAACAGCGGGCACCGAGTCATCTGTCACGACAGCGGGCACCGAGTCATCTGGCAGAACAAAGGGCACCGAGTCATCTGGCACGACAGCGGGCATCGGGTCACCAAGCTCGACAGCGGGCACCGAGTCATCAGAGAGGACAGCGGGCACCAGGGCACCAGGCTGGACCACGGGCACCGGGCACCAGGCTGGATCGGGTCATCCGGCTGGTTCGGGTCATCCGGCTGGATCGGGTCATCCGGCTGGGTAGCGGGCACCAGATCATCAAGCTGGATAGGATCATAAGCTGGGTCGGGTCATCAGGCTGGGTTGGGTCATCAGGCTGTGTTGGGTCATCAGGCTGGGTCAGGTCATCAGGCTGGGTAGCGGGCACCAGATCATCAAGCTGGATAGGATCATCAGGCTGGGTCGGGTCATCAGGCTGGGTTGGGTCATCAGGCTGGGTAGCGGGCACCAGATCATCAAGCTGGATAGAATCATCAGGCTGGGTCGGGTCATCAGGCTGGGTAGCGTACACTGGGTCATCAGGCATCAGGGCATCAGGCTGAACAGCGGGTACCGGGGAGTCAGGCTGGACAACAGAAGGTGGGTTCTCAGACAGCAGGCTGACCGGTTTGGATACTGGCAGGATGGTACTGATTGGAAAGAATTTTCGCTTCTTCTTGGGTTTAGTTACTGAAGCACTGTAAGTAAATGCAGGTCTGTAAATGGATGGAGCAGCTGAAGACAGAGAAGAGCTGGAGGATGGAACAGAGGAGGGAACAGTTGCTACATAGGGCTTCTTTACAGGGTTAAAGGCAGGGTAGGTGCAGCGAGTGGGAACAGGGGACTGACATGTGGTTGATAGGAGGGTATACTGGGCTGGAACTGGAGGTGCTGTCGGAAATGCAGGAATAGAGCTTTGAAAAAATAGATTAGAAGCAGGACTGGGTTTTTGCAAGCTGACTGAGGCTGGGTGTAAAAAATCTGACCATATCTGTATTACCGGTTGAACAAAGCTCAGCTTACACGTAGCCTGTCTGACCAAAGACTGCACTGCATTTATACAATCCACAAGCACATGTGATGGACAAGCTGCATAATGCTCATGGAAGCAATCTGGATCATCCTCCAACAACCATACCAGTGACTCTAATTGATCTGCAGTAAATGGTGGAAAAAAGTCATCCCTGCTTTCAGGGGTACAGGACAGAGCCAACTCAGCACAAACCTGGATCAATGGCTGCACCTCAGAAAACTCCGTGCCCTGATCTACTAGGGAATGAGCAACTTGCATGCACTCTAGCAGCTGATCCCTGGTATACTCCTTCAGAATCTGATTGCCATATTCTCTGTCTTCTAAGACTAACAGCGACAAGTACACAACCTCCTCAGGATGCATCCTTCACAACAACAAGCCAAAATGGCTTCCCTGTGCAGCCACTTCTGCTCAGGATTGACCTTGGTGTAATGTCAGAGATCCAGGTATGACCAGAGATGTATGGACTGACACAGGGAAACACAGGCTCACGTATGGTGTAAACAATATAATTTATTAAAGGCTATACCAAAATATAAACGCACAATGTAAACAAAACCAAACCTCCAACTGATAACGGAATATACAAGCACACAGACAAGAGTAGTCAGGGCTGGTGAGGTGGAGTGGTCAGGCAGGCCGAGTCAGGAACCATTGGGCAGACAAGGTACAAAGGAGAGGCAGAGCGTAGTCAGACGGGTTGGGTCAGGAACAATCAGGCAGACAAGGTACCAGAGGAGCAGGCAGGAGAGTGGTCAGGAATATCCGGGGTCTGAGCAGGCAGAGTTCTATCAATGTCAGGAGTCAGGCAGAGCGATCAGGAAGGAAGGTAGGCAGGCAGGCAGACGACAGGATCAGGTTCAGGCACAGGGGCTCATGAGGAACAAACACCAAGGCACTGACTGCAGGCCTGGCCATTGCTTAAATACACCTCCTGCATTCAGCCTCAGGTGATAGCTTGATTGCAGGAGTGAGATTCTGGCTGCTGAGAGCACTCACTGGCCAGCACTGGTACTGCAGCCCACAAGGCAGGTGAGCCCCAGCACCACGTGTGCTGAGCCCATTCCTGACAGTTCCCCCCCCCCTTCAAGGAGCGGCCTCAGGACGCTCCAAACAGTCCGTAATGGCACAAATGTTCCACCGCCTGGGTCCGGTAACTGGCTGGACATCCCACTGTCGGAATCAAGCGACTGACTGGGTCTCCTGCTGATAGGCCTATCTTTTTGCAGGAGACCGCAGGAAGGCAGGTTGCTGGACACAGGAGTTCCAGAAGCAGAGTGGGCAGCGGACAGAGGCACGTCAGGCTGGGCAGTGGGCACAGAGGACGTCAGGCTGGGCAGTGGGCACCTGGGACATCAGGCTGGGCAGCACGGGCACATCAGGCTGGGACAGCAGGCACCGGCACATCAGGCTGGGCAGCGGGCACTGGCACATCAGGCTGCGCAGACAGGGGCACTGAGTCATCTGGCACGACAGCGGGCACCGAGTTATCTGGCAGAACAGCGGGCACCGAGTCATCTGGCAGAACAACGGGCACCGAGTCACCTGGCAGAACAACGGGCACCGGGTCACCAAGCTTGACAGCGGGCACCGAGTCATCTGGCACGACAGCGGGCACCGAGTCATCTGGCACGACAGCGGGCACCGGGTCACCAAGCTCGACAGCAGGCACTGAGTCATCAGACAGGACAGCGGGCACCGAGACACCTGGCACTGGACCATGGGCACCGGGGCACCAGCTGGATCAGGTCATCCGGCTGGTTAGGGTCATCCAGCTGGCTTGGGTCACCCGGCTGGGTAGGGGCAACAGATCATCAAGCTGGATAGGATCATCAGGCTGGGTCGGTTCATCAGGCTGGGTCGGGTCATCAGGCTGAGCTTGGGTCATCAGGCTGGGTAGCGGGCACCAGATCATCAAGCTGGATAGGATCATCAGGCTGGGTCAGGTCAACAGGCTGGGTTGGGTCATCAGGCTGGGTCGGGTCATCAGGCTGGGTAGCGGGCACCAGATCATCAAGCTGGATAGGATCATCAGGCTGGGTCGGGTCATCAGGCTGGGTAGCTTATAGCGTACACCAGGTCATCAGGCATCAGGGCATCAGGCTGAACAGCGGGTACCGGGGCACCAGGCTGGACAACGGAAGGCGGGTTCTCAGACAGCAGGCTGACCGGTTTGGATACTGGCAGGATGGTACTGGTTGGAAAGAATTTTCACTTCTTCTTCTTGGGTTTAGTTTACTGAAGCACTGTAAGTAAATGCAGGTCTGTAAATGGATGGAGCAGCTGAAGACAGAGAAGAGCCAGAGGATGGAACAGGGAGGGAGCAGTTGCTACACAGGACTTCTTTACAGGGTTAAAGGCAGGATAGGTGCAGCAAGTGGGAGCAGGGAACTAACATGTGGTTGATAGGAGGGTGTACTGGGCTGTAAGCTGGAGGTGCTGTCGGAAATGCAGGAATAGAGCTTTGAAAAAATAGATTAGAAGCAGGACTGGATTTTTGCAAGCTGACTGAGGCTGGGTGTAAAAAAATCTGACCATATCTGTAATACCGGTTGAACAAAGCTCAGCTTACACGTAGCCTGTCTGACCAAAGACTGCACTGCATTTATGCAATCCACAAGCACATGTGATGGACAAGCTGCATAATGCTCATGGAAGCAATCTGGATCATCCTCCAACAACCATACCAGTGACTCTAATTGATCTGCAGTAAATGGTGGAAAAAAGTCATCCCTGCTTTCAGGGGTACAGGACAGAGCCAACTCAGCACAAACCTGGATCAATGGCTGCACCACAGAAAACTCTGTGCCCTGATCTACTAGGGAATGAGCAACTTGCATGCACTCTAGCAGCTGATCCCTGGTATACTCCTTCAGAATCTGATTGCCATATTCTCTGTCTTCTAAGACTAACAGCGACAAGTACAGAACCTCCTAAGGATACATCCTTCACAACAACAAGCCAAAATGGCTTCCCTGTGCAGCCACTTCTGCTCAGGATTGACCTTGGTGTAATGTCAGAGATCCAGGTATGACCAGAGATGTATGGACTGACACAGGGAAACACAGGCTCAAGTATGGTGTAAACAATATAATTTATTAAAGGCTATACCAAAATATAAACGCATAATGTAAACAAAACCAAACCTCCAACTGATAACGGAATGTACAAGCACACAGACAAGAGTAGTCAGGGCTGGTGAGGTGGAGTGGTCAGGCAGGCCGGGTCAAGAACCATCAGGCAGACAAGGTACAAAGGAGCAGGCAGAGCGTAGTCAGACGGGTCGGGTCAGGAACAATCAGGCAGACAAGGTACCAGAGGAGCAGGCAGGAGAGTGGTCAGGAATAGCCGGGGTCTGTGCAGGCAGAATTCTACTAATGTCAGGAGTCAGGCAGAGCGATCAGGAAGGAAGGTAGGCAGGCAGGCAGACGACAGGATCAGGTACAGGCACAGGGTCAGGCAGAGGGATCAGGAAGGAAGGAAGGAAGGCAGGCAGGCAGGCTCAGGTTAAGGTTCAGGTACAGGGGCTCATGGGGACCAAACACCAAGGCACTGACTGCAGGCCTGGCCATTGCTTAAATACACCTCCTGCAATCAGCCTCAGGTGATGGCTTGATTGCAGGAGTGAGATTCTGGCTGCTGAGAGCACCCGCTGGCCAGCACTGGTACTGCAGCCCACAAAGCAGCTGAGCCCCTGCAACACCGGTGCTGAGCCCATTCCTGACAAGGCCCCTGCACTTCCTTTATCTCTCCCAAAAAAGATCCAGGCCTTCAGGTTCCACAAATGACAAATCGTATTCATAACTGCCAAGTGGGCAGATCAAAGCAAATACATCACAGGCTTTAAACCCCATCTCCAGAATCAGCTCAGCAACCCTCCCCCTTCCTGTTGAGTTTCCTTCCCCCTCCCACTTCAACTGCACAACATTCCTTCTCCTGACCCCACCAACCATCCCACCACCAAACCTCCCCAAATTGTGAGCTTTAGGATTCCCAACACTGCCTCCACCCGCCTCGGTACGATTCCCCAAAACAGAGGCATAGCTCCCCACATTCCTTCCAGCAGCAGATACATTTGTGTGTTTGGGAGCATCTGGTGGAACTGGATGGTGTATCCTCTCTCTGCTGAGCAGGGGGAGAAATGTCATTTTTACTTCTGTCAGCAACATTAACCCCTTCACCACCACCCAACACCAACAAATCCATTGCTTTACCAGTCTCATCAGTCATAGAGTTCACAGAAATGTCCGCACTCACTGCTGCAACAATAGAAACTTCAGCTCCTGCTGTCATCTCTTCCAGATCAGAACTTTCCACCCAGGAATGTGCTTGTTGTTTAACCTCCCTAGAGATCTGATTATGTTCATATTTCTGTGCTGAAAGCGGTACATTTTTTTGCATAGAAATATGTCGTTTTTTTATTGTAGGCCTGTAATTTTTAGGAATAACTCACTGAAATCTGTCCAAACGAGTAAAATTTGAAACACAAAATCATAAATTATAATTTAATAAATAATCATAAAAAATAATAATATAATAATAATACAGTTATTTCACTAATGTAATCAAACCAAAAACACTGAAATTTGAAATATAGCGCCAAGTTCGCACATCGCTGAGCAAAGTCGCAGAATCGTTTTCAGTGTCTGATGAGGAATTTCCCCCACGAATCATTATCACTCAATTCTGCAAGTGGTTCTAATTTACTATCGCTGTTCTCTAGCCGGTCTAAAACCACTTTTGACCTAAAGGGACGCTTTTTGGACGCCATGGACTTTTCTAAGTTTCCAGGCAGAAAGAACAGTAAAAATGCAGGCAGGGCGCCGAACAAAGTACTCGGGACAAAATGTATGTGAAATGGTTTGATACAGGAATGTTATACTATGTGATTTTTGTTTATTAGAAATTGTCAGTTTTTAAAATTTTCAAATTTGCCGCCTTTCCAGCCCCCCATACGTCCTGACGATAATGGCCAAGAATCGATCGATAATCTTCTATCTGAAGACATCCTCCTCCTCACTAGGCCCGGTCTCATCAGGGAAATCCCTCCCAGGGCCTCCCCCTGGATCAGGCATGGTTCCTGGGACAAGCTAGCAGGCAAGGCTCAAGCTTGAAAATACTGGTTCTCAGAGAGAGCTCCTTCAGTGTTATTTCCTCCTTCTCCCACTGACCACCAATGTAAGGGACATTCTTCCCACTGATCACCAATGTAAGGGACATTCTTCCCACTGACCACCAATGTAAGGGACATTCTTCCCACTGATCACCAGTGTAAGGGACATTCTTCCCACTGATCACCAATGTAAGGGACATTCTTCCCACTGACCCCCCAATGTAAGGGGCATTCTTCCCACTGACCCCCAATGTAAGGGGCATTCTTCCCACTGATCACCAATGTAAGGGACATTCTTCCCACTGACCACCAATGTAAGGGACATTCTTCCCACTGATCACCAGTGTAAGGGACATTCTTCCCACTGACCCCCAATGTAAGGGACATTCTTCCCACTGATCACCAATGTAAGGGACATTCTTCCCACTGATCACCAATATAAGGGACATTCTTCCCACTGACCCCCAATGTAAGGGACATTCTTCCCACTGACCCCCAATGTAAGGGACATTCTTCTCACTGACCCCCAATGTAAGGGACATTCTTCCCACTGATCACCAATGTAAGGGACATTCTTCTCACTGATCACCAATGTAAGGAGAATTCTTCCCACTGATCACCAATGTAAGGGACATTCTTCCCACTGACCCCCAATGTAAGGGACATTCTTCCCACTGATCACCAATGTAAGGGACATTCTTCCCACTGATCACCAATGTAAGGAGAATTCTTCCCACTGATCACCAATGTAAGGGACATTCTTCCCACTGATCACCAATGTAAGGGACATTCTTCCCACTGACCCCCAATGTAAGGGACATTCTTCCCACTGATCACCAATGTAAGGGACATTCTTCCCACTGACCCCCAATGTAAGGGACATTCCTCCCACTGACCCCCAATGTAAGGGACATTCCTCCCACTGACCCCCAATGTAAGGGACATTCTTCCCACTGACCACCAATGTAAGGGACATTCTTCTCACTGACCACCAATGTAAGGGACATTTTTCCCACTGACCACCAATATAAGGGACATTTTTCCCACTGACCACCAATGTAAGGGACATTTTTTCCCCCTTACCACCAATGTAAGATATATTGTGAGCTTTAGCTAGTAATTAGTAGGGGTTCCTCTGTGTTACAACAGTTGAAGAAGGCAGCACTAGATCTTGGCAGATGATCCATTAGGGAAAATGCCCTTAGAATTCAGACATTGCACTGCAATATAACAACAGACATCTGCTGACTTTTACAAGCAGGAGCCGAGTGAGGACATCATATTGTGAGAATTGATGTTCTCGGTCACTCGTCTCTTGCTGTGTTTCACAACGATGAATTCTCAATGTCCCTGGAACAGCCGCACAGCCAACTCACCATCCTCTGCTTCGTACACAAGTTTGCCGGAGAAAGATGCATTTCACCCTGACAGGTCTTTAGTTGGTGACTCTTCTTCTCAGCTCCCTGGAGTACAATGCTGAGTCAAAGTACCCCGCCACAAGCACAATGTATTCTTGGCAGCATACTTACCTGCTTTTCAAAAGACACTACCAAATTTCCATCAAGATCCAGCCAAACAGGTTCCAGCACACAAGTATACACCCCAACAAGGCCATCCTGCATATGCAATCAACATCATGGCTGCCTCCCAAGAACAGTACATAAGAACCATCTTTAAAATATGCACCAAAGCAAACAATACAATTTACTATGTGACTGCTTAAATCGAAAGACAAACGGTATAAACTGTTTTGTCTTTGTTGCCTTACTGATCCAAAATGAAACTTTAAATAAATATCCCTTTTATGTAAATAAATAATACATGCTTGCTAGTCGCATCGGAGCTGATTTAATAAAGCTGTGGTATGGAGATTGCAGTCATGCTTGTGGAACATGTGGGTTTTTAGTGGCTTGCCAACCCACTTTTATTGAAAAAAACTAAAAGAAATAAAGTCTCTTGTGTCAGTATGTTTCCCAAGCAGTGGTTTCAGCTTTACAAAGCATTGGAAGCAAACAGGTAATGAAGAATACTAAGCCACCTGGCTCTCTTCAGCGGCACTGCTGCTCTGGTCTCTGGTCTCCCAGGATCTCCAGGGTCACTCAGCCTTAGTTAGAGCTCCTTGCTACATGGGCCCACTCCTGGCCTCTAGATAGGGTTCTTTTAGCACCCTGAGATTTCTCACTTTCTCAGACTTAAATTCCCCCTCTGGTATCATGGTGTCAGGAATGGACTCAGCACTGGTGGTGGGACTCACCTGCCGTGTGGGCTGCAGTACCAGAGCTGACCAGCGGGTGCTCTCAGCAGCCAGAAGCTCACACGTGCAATCAGCCAAACCTGGGGCTGATTGCAGAAAGGTGTATTTAAGGCATGACCAGGCCTGTGCTCTGGGCCTTGGTGTATGTTTTCCCATGAGCCTCTGTACCTGGTATCCTGTGTTCCTGCTTCGTTGCTGACCCGGCTTGATCCTGACCTCTGCTGACCGTCTCCTGTTGAACCCCTGGCTTGCCTGACCATCCTTCTGCCTGATCCCCTGTACCCGCGCTGCCTGTGAGTTACTGAACCCGGCTTGTGACCTTGACTATTCTCTGCCTTCTCCTTTGGTACCTTGCTGCCCGCACGTTGCTGACTTGGCCCGTCTGACCACGCTAACTACTCTGCCATCCATCCATCCTGCACGGATCCAGCCGTACCTGCCCATACCTCTGGCGGATCCCTCTACCACTAGCAGGTGTACTCAGGGGCCGCGACCTGGTTCCTGTCTGCCCCAAGTCCATCCCCACCATCAGGGGCCCTGGTGAATAAGCAGACTGGGACTTAGACTCCGCGCCCTGGGGAATCCTGTCCTGGGGACCACTAGAGGTACCACCAAACGGTCATTACAGAACCCTACGGCCGGCCTGACCGTTCCACTTCTCCAGCCCTGACTACGCCTGTGTTCCTGCACCTACTAAGATTAGTGGAAGGTTGGTTTGTTCACTGTGCGTTTATATATATATATATATCTGGGTGGCTAATAATAAACTGTATTATTATACTATACCTGAAACCTGCGTTTCCCTGTGTCAGTCCACACCTTTCTGGTCATTCCTAGATTCCTGACACATGGTCTCACTAGTTGCCTAGGCTCTCTCAGTCTCTCCTACCCACTTGCTCAGTGGTCCCAACTCTCCCAGTCCTGTGAGTAAGGAATCTCTCCCATGTAGAGTCTCCATCTCCCGAGTGGAACCACAGGTCAGGTGCAATGCTTCGGCCAATCACAGAACAGTATGATGTCACAAGGGGGTGGGATGAACCCCGTCCCCTTGTGACATCATGACAGTATACAAGAACTGTCATCGTGGGTGCAACTATCAGATGGTAGGAACCAGCATGGAGAGCGGAGCATTGTTTTTTCTTCTTTTTTCGGGTACCGGTGGTGGCGGGCATCGTGACTGATGTTGGATCTACTTCGGGGGGCAATTTCTATTTTTAATAAAGGACTTGTCAAAGACTGTTTACTGTCTTTTTTTACACTACACTTTTTTTTGTGAATGGGTAACAGTACCATGTACCGCATACTCATTCACATGGGGGAGGGGGTCAGGATCTGAGGACCCCCTTGTTAAAGGGAGCTTCCAGATTCCGATAAGACCCTCACAACCACAGGCCACTGTTGTGGGGAAGAGGCCCTTTTCCCGTCAACATGGGGACAAGGTGCTTTGGGAGGGGAGCCCCCTCTGCCCCAAAGCACCCCCTTGTTGAGGGCATGTAGCCTAGTATGGTTCAGGAGGGGTTGGGGTGCTCACTCGTCGGGCTGCATGCTCGGATAAGGGTCTGGTATGGATTTTCTGAAGGAACCCCCACACCATTTAAAATAAAAAAATTGGCATAGGGGTTCCCCTCAAAAACCGTATCGGGCCTGAAGGGCTGGTATGGATGGGAGGGGGGACCTCATGTTGTTGTTTTTTTTCTAATTTACTTGTTGGGCAATGGTGGCAATTCTTTTGACATTCAGCTGTCAGCAGGATACCCCACTGACAGTTGAAACATGAATGAATGTATCACTACTAATATACCGCATGACTTCATCAAAGAGCTCAGGCAGGATTTTAGTAACTGAGCCATATCCTACCACATACTCAGATGCGGTAATATATTGCTCAGTTGTTCGGTTCGTTTTCGAAGTTTGAGATTAGACATTCTGTGGGTTCAGATGTTTGACCACGAACCAAATGAGGGGGGTAAAAATTATTATTCCTGCTTCAACAAACTTCAAAATCTAAACTGCTGCTGTGCAAAATATGAAAAACACAAACAATAAAAAATATATAAATAAAACAGCGCAAAGATAGATCTCTAAAGCCAATCAGAAAAAATGATTATATAAAGTGCAAAATAAATATATCATAAACCATAAATGAATAGTGAATGTCCCCAGTAATATGAATATTAAACACCAAAAAAGTCCGTGTATAATAAAATTCAGAAATTCCAAAAATTCTTCAAGTACAAGGAAAACTTCCACCTTCCACCCGTGCAAACCAACATCAAATGCGCTCACCAGAACTTGGTGAGTAAGAAGCCTTTAGGGATTTTCTTTTACAAAGAGCTTTATTGAATATTAAGCAAAGATAAACAAACATTTGGAACATAGATGCAATGACCAACAGTTAGAAATTGTAGCGGATGAGGGGAAGCTAATTCAAGGCATACACTGGAAAAGACATAAGCTGAAAAGTTTACATATGTGTCCTGTAGGAAAAGGTGGGGGAAGGGGTTGGGAAAGGACGATTAACAAACCTTTGTGGGTCAATGATAAGATAAACTCTAAAGGGGAGTTTTGCTACATCAACATTATAGAGAACGGGAGAGGCACGAGAAGAGGCCTTCTCCAATAGGTGATACATGTTCAAAACGTAAAAATTACAAAGAAATCCAGATTGCGTTGGTAGTATTGCAGATGTAGCGCAGGCACTATCCGAAAAATATGTTTAAGGACAGATTTGACAGGAGGTTAGGAAAAGACAAACAGTAGAGAGACGCGGACAACAACAACACCAAAAAAGAAAAAAAAAAAAAAGGGGGGGGGGTTGGCTCCGGAGCGATCACAGCGAAATCCATCCTCATATCGACAGAAGGGACTGGTCAAATCTCGAAGGTTGAGATACATCCAGCCAGGGACGCCATACCTGCAGAAATTTTGTATGGGTATCCAACAATATGGCCGTCAGTTTTTCATTAACCATTATGAAGTTCATTCGGTTTTTGACAGCCTCAAAACTAAGGAGAGGAGTTTTCCAAGCTCTCGCAATTGTCAATTTAGTTGCCATAAATAAAAATGATGCCAGCTGCCGTTCAGAACGGAGGAGGCCCTCCAGCGGTTTAAATAGTAGCGCTTCATACGGGTTACGCTTAATGTCTGCGTGAAGGATAGTGCGGAGGAGGGCATACACTCTGATCCATAATCTACTTACTTTAGGGCAAGTCCACCAGATATGAGCCATAGTACCCGATTGTTGGCATCCCCTAAAACAGACCGGGGAATATGTAGGGATAAAACTAGCTAGACGAGCAGGCGTATAATACCACCGGTATAGAATTTTGTAGGCATTCTCAAGAATAATGACATTCCTAGAACATTTAGATAGTGCTTGGGTCATGTTCTGCCAGTCCTGTTGATCCAAGGTCCCCCCTAATTCAGACTGCCAACGCTGATGATAGGAGCGAACAGGAGGGGTTCTATAAGATATAATGGAAGAATAAATCAAGGAAATCAAACCCGGAGCATGAGGTCTATGTCTGCACTGGCTTTCAAAAGGGGACAGACGGTACGGTCCCGGATGCGTGCGTATTAGTGTATTAACAAAGTGACGAAGTTGAAGATAACCAAAATGTTCTCGGAGAGGGATGTTATAAGAAGAACGCAGAGCGTCAAAGGTAATTATTCTAGTGGGTGATAGGAGTGAATGAACATCATAAAAACCATGCGCTTGCCACCAGGCAAACTGTCTAGGATTATCCCTACCCGGAGGGAATAATGGGTTATGCAATAGACGTAACAGCGGCAGGTGAGGAGAGATAAGGCCAGCGGAATATTTGATAGAATCCCAGAGACGTAGCGAAAGCGTCAGCGTTGGACTAAGGGTTGATGGACGTTGAGAGATAGGAAGCCATGGCAAGGAGGAGAGCGGTATCGGGTGAGAGTCCATCATATCTACAA